TTTCCCGGGTGGTTTATCGCTGCTTTATATGCCAGGGCAAGTTTATACTCATAATGATTCGTGATTGGAACAATTCCTAATTTCTTGAATAGTGGTGCCGCGTGGCTATCATGTGCTTCGTTACACAAAATACGAACTACTTTTTTCTGAAGTATATGAATACGATGAATATTTGCAGAAGTAGTATTTCCCCATACCAAGAAACAGTAATTAAAACAAGAGTAGAATAAAGAGTTATAAAGAAGTCGTAGTACAGACTGGGGTAATGTTTTTTTATGTTTATAAATTATACCCACCACCTTCGATAGTTTTTTCGCTATCATCTGAACTGTTTCATCCCATCGCATGTATTCATTAAACATGACACCAAGGACTTTGACGCTCTGCACAATTTCTATACCACGTGAATCTAAGGAGAGAATCTGACTTCCGCTCATTTTTACCCCCTTTGACCTGAAAACAACAGCTTTCGTTTTATTACTATTTATCACTAAAGAGTTCTGGACTGTCCACGTATAAAGTTTTTCTAAAAATGTATTACCTGTCTTCATAATGTCCGAAATATCGGACCCTGCAAAAAATATACTAGCATCATCTGCATAGATTATCATGTTTGCTTCATCGTCAATGTTAGCTATGTCGTTAATATACAGGTTAAATAAAAGAGGCCCTAAAATACTACCCTGTGGAACACCTGCATTAAGTTTTCTAGACTCAGAACGTTGGCAATTTATTACAACTCTTTGAAAACGAAACTGTAAGTAACTCTCGAGTATTTTCAGGGCTATTCCCCGAATACCAGAAAGTTCTAGTTTTTGAAGAAGAGTTTTATGATTAATGCGATCAAAAGCTTTTGAAAAATCGATAAAGATTCCCAATGTAAGAAGTTTATTTTCAATGTTGTTTAGAATTATCTCTTTTTGGTTAAGTAACGCTAACTCTGTCGAGTACCCTTTCCGAAACCCGTACTGCCGGGGACTCAGAATTGAGTGTTTCTCAAAAAAAGTGTAAAGTCTTTTATGTATGATTTTTTCCAATCCTTTTGAAAATATTGGTAAAATGGACACTGGCCTGTAATTACTAAGATCGTTACTATCACCTGCTTTATATATGACAGAAACTTTTGCTATCTGCATTTTACGCGGAAAAACACCAGTCTCGAGACATACATTAAATATATGAGTTAAAATAAAAGCAATAGACTCTATAACATATTTAATGGGCTTTATTTGAATGTCCTGAGAATCGGAACTTTTGCTGTTTTTTAGACTCATAAAAATTGAAATAACTTCTTCCTCGCTAGTTGGAGAGAGGAATATGCTGTCAGAAAGACATTTAACATATTTTGAAGCTTCAGCAGAGTGAACGCTGTTAACTAAATCGACAAAAAAATTATTGAACGCGTCTGCAAGAGCTTTACCTTTTTTAATATCCCCATCAACCGCAAGCTCGGTTGTTTCTCCAAACTGACGTCCTTCATGCAATATCGAATTTAACTTCTTCCACAAAACATCCGTTCTCTTTTCATCCCGAAAAAGCAAAAAATAGTATGACCGTTTGGCTCGCCGTAGCTCACTTGTTATCTTGTTTCTTTGACTCTTAAAACTTGACAATACAACTGGATCTCTTGTACGCATAAATTTTCTATAAAGTGCATCTTTTTTCTTCATCATTTTTAATATTTCAGCTGTGACCCATGGTTTTCTACACTTTTTATGAACTATATGCTTTTTGTACTTCAATACACGGTTATATATATCACAAAACGTTTCAAGAAAACTCTCGTATGCCTCGTCTGCCGACACCTTAGACAGAACCACACTCCAGTCTGTTATGTTAATTTGTTCTTGAAAATATTCGAGACTTTTTGTACTAATATCACGGTAATGAAGGTTAGGCACACATATTTTCTTGTGTTTGATATCATCTAGAGTTATGAACATAAAAATAGGGAGATGATCACTTATTGTCGCCCCTATAACACCAGCATGCGCATGTTCCTCGGATACATTTGTTAAGAAAATATCTAACAATGTTTCATTCGCACTACTATAACGAGTTGGTTGACAAATGGTACAGATATAACCATACGACTGATAAAGCGTGAGAAATTCTGATTGCTGTGTTGATGGCAAAAGCATATTGATGTTAAAATCACCCCCCACAACAAGCTTCAGGTTGTTCTCACCGATAAAAAAAAAGAGTTCATCTAGATATTTTAAAAAACAAGACATGCTGCCACCGGGAGGGCGATACACGACACAAAAAACGTTATGCGCGTGCTGCAACGTCAGAATTTCATAATCCTGGGTAATTACCGAAAATTCATCTATAATACTGCAGTGCAGGGTATTTTTTACGTACACAGAAACTCCCCCTCCTCTTTTGGAATTTCGACATAAACTATAGTTTTCATAGTTACTTAAAATTTCAACAGTATCATCTGGAGTATACCATGTTTCCGTTAACATGATAACATCAAAAGAAAAATCGAAACTCTGCAAAAATGCATCTAACTGATCAAATTTATTACGCAAGGACTGCGCGTTTAAATGAAAAAGGGAAAATACAACGCTGGTTTGGGACCTAAACACGTTCCCCACAATATTTTGCGTTTGTTCATCAAACGCAAACAACACGGCGTTGACTATTTATTGCCTTTGCGAAAAAAAAAATAATCAGAAAACCTGGCAGCAAAAGCCTATCTGTTGTCAAGATTGCGGATCGCCCGGCTACGTGCAACACGTAGGCTGTGAGTGTCGTGAATAAACTTATATCCTCCAAACCCGTTTGGGTAGCACTTAACGCTCCAGCACGTTATTGACCCTTGGCAAACCGACATTCATTTCCAAGCTGCCACTAGTGTACTAAGGCAGGACAAAAACAGAAGCAAAGGCAACTTAGACGATTGTTTTTAAACTGTGTAAGGTCGGTGCGCCTTTCAGTTATGGCGTCACTGGTTTGCGTTGTAGATTAGAAAGTTAGCCTCTGCAGTGCAACAGCTCTAGCCCGGGGTCTTTAACACGTATCACGCAGGAGTGATACACGACCGCACGCCGATACGATGTTTATCCATATCAAAGCGGGCAAAGGTAGAGGATCTAACCCCGCATCCCCGCGTTCTGCAAGGCGAGCTTACACTCCACGCCCCCCCTCCCGCCCTTTCCCATCTTCTGACTAGACAAAGCTCGTCTCCAACGCAAGCAAATGACTCTGATTACGTTTTCTTAAGCTGCGTCTTATGCCTGTGTTTGTTCTTTAACCGTTTGTGTGCACTCGCTTTGGTGGGAGCGTCATGTAATAGCTTTACCATTAAACATATTTCGTCGCTCACCAGTGGAGAACCTTCATTCCTTCAACCTTAAACCCCTCTTTCCTTGTTCCCGGCACGAGGCAACAAAGCAGGACGCACGCTTAACATCTTCGTCTTCTGTCATTAACTACTTCTCTCCCTCCTTATACGAAACAACTTATGCCGTACGCTTGCACCGATCAAAACGTCATTTTGGGCGAGGAGAGCGTCATCGTTCGAATTGAGCCAACACCATTTGCACGTGTGTAGAGCCGTCTCGCTTAACGGAGTCATCGGGTTCCGCGGGTGAAACCGCGCAGGAATACAATGGGTCAGACGCGCGCTCCGTTAGAAGCAAATCTGTGGGCTAACACTGACAATCTTCTGGACGCTTGCGCCACCCTCGCGGCTAAACGTTCTGGCGGTATACCGCAAGCACGGAACAATCGTCCCCGTTGACCTGGTTGAGCGCCGGACGCGGCGGCTGGGTTGCAGATTTATGGAGACACCCTCTGATCTTCCTGCGTAACTCGGCGCTAAACTTTTTTTTTTTTTTTTTTGTAGAACTTTTAAAGACGATTTTGAGGCTTTAGCACATGCTCTACCGAAATCTTTCTTTTTTTTTCTTCCGGAACGCTTGCATGTGCGGACGTTTAAACGCCGAAAGACGAATCCCAAAGCGTGAAGCGTCATGCCCTGCGTTTCTTAAGATGTCGGCGACTTTAATGTTTTTTTTATTATGTTACGATACATTAATACTTGCTCTCTCGAGCGGCTAGAAACTATTTGAGGGCAGACCTTCATATAATCCCAGGATAGTTGTCGTATATACTATAGACGCTTTGCAGCAGCCATAACCGAGCTTCAATTTAAGTTTTCTCTTATTACGTTTAGTTCACTTCATCATGACCACAGCAGGGCAGGTTATTGCCATTTTAAATTCTACTGTGTTTTTCTCCCTAGCATTGGCCTTTGTGGAGGCTCCCGCTTCACTGGCTCGGCATCTGGGTAAGACAAGAAAAGGTCAGCAATGGCGGATGTAAACTGGCGCGTGTCCAAAGCGTCTATATACTGGCCAAGATGTCCGTTCGCCTGCAGTGGTGAGAAAAGTTGCAAAAATTCGAGGCAAACTAACTTCTGCCCTATAAAACCTCATTCGTCAAATTTGATTTTCTTTTCTTAACGTCGTGAACGATTTTTTGGAACGTATAAAAGCGCAACAAGCGTCCTGCTAACCAAACCGCCGGGACACAAAAAGAGTTGACCAATATACAGGGCCATACCCGAGAGCCCCACGTGAAGGCGTCGACCTGAATCAAAAGGAACTGGTGGACTATTTGGTTACACATGTCTAAATAAACGCAGCGCGAAAGGACACGAGTCACCGGCTGCTTCAGAAACGCAGTTTATTACGATCACGGCTCTTGCTTCGTGAGTCGGCATTCTTATTGGCTAATGTGGCGATTGCGTTGGCCAATCAGATGCTCGTCAGCCACCACGCCCTGCGCTTCTTAAGCGACCGCTGACCATAGTAGAAGCGGAAGGAGAGTGCTTCATTCTTTTTTTCCGTTCCACTAGTCCCTGTCCCTTTACGCTGCGTTTAGTTCTATAGGCGACGGCCTGGTCGCGGCACAAGTGGCACAAGCGTGGAGGAGGGAAGGGGGGGGGGGGGGGGGGGTGCGAAGCGAAAGGATGAGGCGTGCGTTACGTGGGGTAATCGTCGACGTCAGCGCAGATGGTGCGCCCTGTTTCGGGGCAGTAGGGCGGCGTGGGCGGCACGAAGCCCCTGCCCGGCCTTGGCGGCGGGCTCACGTCCGCGATGTAGTAGCTCGAGCTGGACACGGCACTCCAAACGGGACCCAGGGAGCAGGACGTGACGCCCACCTGGGCGCACCACACCAGGCACAGGGCCGAGCACACCAGCCGGGCTGGGCTCCGCTGGCACCACCCCACCTGCGAGGGCGAAGCCGTGGCGCGGTGATATCCACCGTTATCAATGCCCCTCGACACACTGCCGGTACGTCGTACAAAATACAGCCTGCAGATATGTTTCTTTCTTGTACGACTGTCCTGTGACATTGGTCTAACGAGGTAGAGGGACTTAGAGCAATAAACTGGTATCCCGTTCACCAGGCAAAAGTAACACTTGGCAAAAGTAACCTCCTGGCTGCCGCAATTTCGTATAATTTTGACCACAAGACACTTAACCGTACCAAATCCTGAGGATTTTCCGCAAAACTGAGCCAAGATTTGTATCGCGATCGCTGTAGAAACACGATAAACTATTTTTCAATACTGTTAGCCTTAGAGATCAGTGTCTAGCTTCGATAAACACCCAAAATACAGCACCAGGGGTTTCCCCAGGGATTGAAATGGGGGGGCATTGGGAATAGAAGAGTCGTTACGAATTAAGGGGGTGCCTTTAAAGAAACAAAGGGGGTGTACACACCCCCTAGAGGTTGTGTAGAGAAACCACTGTACGGCACCGTGGCTGACGGCATTGCGAAGCTGCCCGAGTTTTTGTCGTAAAAGCACCATCTTCGACTTAAAAAAACGAAACATAACTTATCTCGTCAGTTCTGTTATTAAAGAACAATGAACAATTATCTGTGTGCGGTACTTTGTTAAAATCTAGACGTAACACTCAATGGTCACATGTCTAGTGGTCAAAAATGTGCAACATGGCGGTGGCCGGTGGGGGTAACTTTTAGCTGCCAGTTTATCACTCTAAGCCCCTCTACCTCGTTGAATCGGCCACACAAAAACTGCTTCCATATTTGAGTGTGTTAGTGCACCGTAGCTCGGAGCGACAGCTCGCGCTGCAGAGCCCAGGGATCTTGGGTTCAAACCCCACCTCTGCCCGTTTTGATCTGGAAGAGCACCTACCGGTGTGCGGCCGTGAATCGCTACTGCGTGGTGCACGTTAAAGAACCCAGACTAGCGGTTGTATACCGTACTGGCTAAATTTCTCATCTACACCTGAGACACCGGGCGCCCATGGACTCCGTAAGTGATGACGTCACAACATGGCGCTCTGCTCCAAACAAACTGTTGTTAGGGCCGTTGTTGTGGACAAATACGAAGGGGCTCGACGTGAGGAATGAACTGTCCGATTAAAAAGTAAATAATCTTTTGGAAGCACTCTCTCCTTTCAATATCTAATCACGAAGACTTTTTTTATCGTTTCAGTACCATAAAGCGATGTCAAAATCACGTAACAAAGTTTAACAGCCGGTTTTGCATTGCTAGCAGACAACACAACGGCTTGGCGGGTTCAGTGGTTCCTTCTGAGCGAGTACACGACCGCGTTGAATGAGGTTGGTGACCATCGACGAAACTTCTATTTTCGGGGTCAACTTTCTACAGATTTCGGAAGCGAAAGGGGGGTGCCCGTAAACAGCTTTGATCAGAGCTCGACGTGCGCGAGCGCGCGAACACCTTCCCATGGAGCTTGCTTCCGCAATATTTGAGAAGCTGAAAGCACTAGGGTGCCAAATTGGGCAAATCACGTACGGCGACATCGACGTGAAGGGTATCCAGGTCGAAGCAGTGGAAGCGCAGGCCAGCACACGTTTCAAGGATTTCTGACTGCAGTTGCTTCAGGGCACATCTGTGTGATCAAGCGAACTGTCCGTAACATATATACATATTGTCGGAGATGGAAACTGGTCGACAATTGTAAAACAGAAAATAAAGATTTTATCCTCGAACTTGTGCCTAGAAACTAAAGAAAGGTTGAGCGTCGACGGCGGCAGCAGCGAGGGACGATGCGTCGGCGTGACAGCTGCTGTAAGTCGACAAAACAGTGCTCGGCTTCTTATCTACTACGCTTGACATCTTGAGCATTCGACCTAAACTCCGTCTCACTAAAACTGTGCAGCACAGCCAAAGCTACAGGGGATGATGTATCCCGACCAGTTCAAGAGGAGGAAAGGAGGAACGGGGGAATCTCAGCCCTTCTTTCCCGTTCCTCGTTTCCCTCCTCTTGAACAGGTTGGCACACGCTCTCTCCCCTGTGGCTTTGGCTGTAATGCACGGTTTTAGTGAGCAGCGCGCAAAAAACACAAAGGGAGAAATGCACAAGACAAGTGCTGATCTTCAGCGCTCGCCTTGTGCATTTCTCCCTTTGTCTTTGTGTTTATTGCGCACTGCTACCAGTTGTAATCATGGACCAACTCGCCTGCCTCACCACATTGAGTATGGAAGGTTTGTTAGTGAGCTAGGGCGAGACTGACTAGAAAGGTCATTCTAGCATTCTTATCTTTTACGCTTGGGGTAAGAGTAAACTCGAATCTTCTAGAGGCACGGAGAAGTGTTCCCTCTTAGTCATGTAGGCTTGGTGTCTAGAGCCCCGTTCACACACTTGCAACCTAGTAGGACGTAGAGAGACAATAGCAGTTGTTATGCCTCTTGCAACGGCGTAGGACCAGATGTGCTGCTGCGCAGCAGGTCTAACACCGTTGCAAGAGACATAAAAACTGGTCTTGTCTCTTTTGGTCCTACTCAGTTGCAAGTGCGTGAACAGCGCTTTAACTAAAACCGAAGAAACAGTAGGATTTTTTCTCAGTTTGATTATTACAAGGCAGGTACAAAACACACACCCTTATTGCGAGCATAAAAAAAGGGTCTCAAACCGCTTATGTTAGAGTAAAAATAATTGTTCTTTCATTACAATGCACGTTAACTGCAAAATCAGAAGTAGTACCCAGAGGCGTATATGTAGAGAGTTTGGTCAATAAGAGGCGCGGGCAGAGCCAGGGCGTGCGTCTGACTCGGAAAGAGGGCTTGGCATGCTCTCTTGACCAACCAGAAGCCGAAAAGAATTCCCTAGCGGTGGTAGCGGCAAACAGTTCTGATCAAAAGTCTATGTTCGTATATGGTTTTAATAAGCGCGTAAGAGTGAAGTGTAGTAACTCTTTGTGGTTGAATACAGGGTGCACTTGTTGTTTTCATCATGATCATGCAGAAAGATGTAAGAAACGAATACGGCGCTCAACTCTGTTTTGCGCGAACAGAGTGTGACCGCTCGGACGGCAGATTCTCGGCCCTCGGCGCTTGGCGTACGGATTATGTCGATCGTTCCGCTCGTCGCACTCTTCCACCATCATTTTGGATGAGCGTGATTGAAACATCACGTGTACCATATTTTCAGCCATCGAGAGTTACTTCAATGCAGTTATCAGGTTTGTTTCTCGCGACCACCGCCAGGGTATTATTTCCGGCTTCTGGTTGGTCACATTCGAATTTCTGAAGACGCCCTGGAACACGCACAGCCCGCTGTCAGCCAATGGCGCCTCCGCATTTGTCTCCTATACTTCCCAACGAATGGCCAAACTCTCTACATATACGGCTCTGGTAGTACCCGACGCTGCCTTGATACCATGTTCTTACACATGCTTTTCTCGCTGTATTTTTTGCAGATACCCATGCGTGTGATGATTTTCGTCAGACAGACTTCCACGTAGCACGCGAATACAATTCGTTTTAAAAACCTGATGCGTTTTATTAGTCCTGCCATGTTCCAAATGAATACAAAATCAAAATAGTATCATTGTGCAAACGATTCAAACTGTTGCAAATAGCTTACTTTCGTCATTCTGTGTGCGTTCGTCACGCGTTCGTTATGCGTTCGTCGTCTGCAACAGGCATCTCGAGGCGTCCCGAGGGCCAGGAGTTCCCGTCGCAAATATTTCAGAAACAGTCGATTCTCAGAGAAGTTCTGTCGCGTTAAGTGTGAAATCTAGGCTTCTTTTATGTATTATTTTTAAAAATTGCGATTCGACGTCTGATTTGTGAGCCATCGTTCTTTCGGGGTAAATCCTGTCCCATGTATTCGTCCATAACAACGCCCCTAGCAACGGTTTGTTTGGAGCGGTGACGTCACACTTGCGGGGTCAATTGAAGCTGACTAACTTCCGGCTGTATAAACGTGCACAGAGCACAATTGCATCGAACATGCTTGAGGAGTGTGCGCAGATAATTTTGTCGTCAACACGAAGGCAGCCAATCAAGACGAACAATAGAAAGATTCCAGCGAATGACGAAGATCATGGTATACGATCAGATCTGAAAAGAAAAAGCGATCTGCACAAAGACAACGAGAAATTGAAACGTCATGCTGCACTGTTCCTGCGCACCTCGCATCGTTATATTCAAATTCGCATTCTGAGCTTCATCCTTCGTTGGGAATCTTCTGTTCGCCGCGATTTGTCGTCTCGTGTTCTCCGGAAAAGCGAACTCACAGACTTTTCTTTTTATTTGCTTGTGTAGGTGCACAATTTACTCTTACTTTTTTCTTTACCACCCTGTCCCACTATGCATTTTTTTACTTCTTATCACCTAGGCAAAAAATGCTGAGTCACTGGGCTGTGGAATTTCCCAAAAACGAGCCACTGCACGTGCTCACAATGCGTCCCGCAGCCCAGTGCAAGAAATATGGCAGCCCACAGGAAGTGGCTATTGGATCGGTCGAAACTTTGCATCGCCATATGGTGGACCTAAGCTACGGGCATCGGGTCTAGTAATGACTCGGGAAACATACATTACGGGTATGAGCATTTGGTTAATAGCTATTAACCAAATGCTCATACCCGTAATGTACGTTTCCCTTCCTCTATATATACACCTGAGAGGTGGTGTTTTCTACTTAATCTGAAAAAAAAATTTTATTTTATTTTTTCCACTAGCTAAATTACAGACGTCTAGACGTCTGTAATTTAGCTAGTGGACTAAAAAAGAAACAGTTTTATATTTTATCTAGCCTCGCCTCGCATCGCCTCCCCCCCCCCTTGATTAGAATCCTGGGAAAACCCGGCCCTGCTCTGGATTAAACCTGGCGGCTTGTGTAGCTTTGGCTTTATACATTTTGCCGACCAAAAACATTACTTCAACTGCAATAGAGCTGAGTATCAATTCAGAGGAATTACATAAAAACAAAACAAAACAAAATATAC